TGCACCAGTCTAGAGAAACACGAGCGACGTAGTCGAACGAGGGTGCTGGACATCTCGACCCCAAAAAATCTCGACCAATTTTTTCATTGGACAACTCGACCCAGGACCCCTATACATCTCGACCCACCTATTTCGGACGACCCGTCGCCTTATATATATTTTTGCTGTACAAAATAAAAAATGCTGTACTGAGGAAATGTATTCTTGCCGTGTCGACGTGTGTCACATCATGGAACTATAAACCCCTTATAGTTCCATGGTCACATCGATGTTACGTTATATACACCTACCCACCGCGTTAAATGGTAGAACCAAAGATGGCGGTCGATTTGCGTTTAAGGTTCGGTTCGATCATGTTCCCTGTTTTCAATGTTTCGAATCAATAAATGTCGTTCATTCAAACGCAGCATTCATATACAGCACGTTACGCAATATCGCGAGAATTTTAAGTTATCAAAGAGCAACATTATCAATGTTGAACTAGATAGAGGTTCGCGTCGCCACACTTAGATAGGGTCGATGCGGTGGGTCGAGATTCCCAGGGTGTCTGGGTCGAGATGTCCCATTTGGGTCGAAGTGTCTTGGGTCGAGATGTCTAGAAATCGTCGAACGACAAGCATTACGGCAGCCATGTTTGTTTCACCTCGATCAATACAGTATTACCCACGATGCAATATTCCCATTAGCGTGGGAATGTGGAAGTTCATAGCCAAGCGTACATCGGTCAAGAACAAGGTAAGAAATTACGTGACAAGACCATCCCGATTTGCTGTCGATTTCCGGGTGCGGATGCGTTTCATACAAGAAGATCGATACGCACTACACCGCCGAGTGTAGTAGACATAATCCCGATGGCAATAGGACGTTCAAAGTAAGCTAATACAGTTGATTTATAACAGACGAAGTAAATAGAAATCACTTCAGTCGAGAACACAAACGTATTTAAATGAGTTGGTAAACAAGAGACGATGATGGCAACTCCACGTTATGGCAGATTTATTACACACTACTACAGTTCAACTAATGTTTACAAACACCACGGTCAGTCACACAAAGTCCCCTAAATCCAAAGGGATTTTTAAATGCATTGGGGACGAACAATTGTGCATACTCCACGTTATGGCGAAGCGTGAAAATGGCAATTTAAACTTTGCTTAAAATGGATAACACGGCCAGTCACACAAAATCCATCAAAAGGGAACTGCAAGTCGTATAATGCCAAAACAGTACTATGATTTCACAACTTTCGAAATACGTTGGCGTCTATCGATGTCCACTGTACACCAGTAAATGTCTTCCCGTTCGCAAGAACACAAAGTCTAAACTATCAGAAATTCGTAACACATAATTCGAGTGATGGTATTACAAAATAACTCATCATTTGTAAATTCAATCCATCGACAAAATATAAAAAAAAACATTTTCATAAACTATTTTTATTATATATATACAATACAAGATTCATAAACATAAATCTATTTGAATACATTCTCACTACAAATTACACAATACTTATTTTCTAATGGCGTTTCTTCACACCACAAACTATTGGAATCATGCACACGTGTGAGTACTTTGGTGACACATTTTATAGCTACGCCAAAAATAGTCCATCATTTATTGCGCAACTGTGACCAAACGACATCATTCTGTTAACATCCACAAATTTTCATAAAATCTCCATGCACTTTTTGACCTTTCATAAGTACAATACACTACAATTTACTCCAGAAAAACAATTTTCTTGGTACATTCCTACATTCTTGCATACTAGTGAGGGGTTCAGACACATTCCAAGCTGAACAATTTTCTTGGACTAATAACAAAGCTGGTCAATCCTTTCCCAGCAATAATATGACCCCTGAAGGTACCACATTCTGGCCTTTTCAGGGATACTGTTGTCATATAACTTCTATAATTTCCAAACTAAATAAATTCCCACTTGTAGTAGTGAATCTCCTCCCCCTCCAAAGAATATAATATTGGTACTTTATATCATACTTTAAAATGACTAATTTTCACTGGGTTCAAATTTGGCTGATTAACGATTTCAGGCATATTCAGTGGGTTTTAAATTCATGGTTTTATCATTTAGATAATGTGGTCTATGCTAAATTTTACATATTCACTGGGTTTTATTTTAGTGCATTTTCCAGTCAGCGAAATAAGCAAAATTAAAACCCAGTGAATAATTAATCTTTTCACAGTAATTTAAAGTTTAATTTAACAAGATGTGTGACCTTAAGAGGTTACACACAAGGCTAAATATGCTTATTAATTATGTCACAGACACGCATATTAATCAATTGTATACTTACTTCAATATCATTAGCTGGTCTCCAGCCTGATTTAGTTAATAACTGCATACAGATACTACCACCAATGGTGATATGACCTACAAAGAAATAAACAATCACTTGCATATGTTTGCAGTTTCTATATTTATTGAGAGATCAATGTACAACACTTATACAATTAATTTCTTGACTACCTGCTGAACCCTTAACAGTAAGGGGTGATTTCTGTTTCTAGTATATTTAACATACTAATTTATACGCATATAATATGATTCATATATACTTGAAATTGTTTTGATCATCCTGGAATTAGTAGTTTAGTTTACTAAGAAAATAACATTAAGGACATTTTGTGTTCATATATTCCAGATCATATGTCACAGTGTATCAGTATTTACATAGCTTCACTGAATTGGGTTCACTGGACCTTTTTTTCCAATCCTATCTTGGAGCACTCCCAATTAAAAATCAATGTACGTAGAGACTCCAGTCACTTGTAATTCTACACAGCAAGTACAGAACTTAATGACAAAAGAAATAAAACCAGTAAAACAAACAAAATTACTGTACGTAAGAAATATAGATGTTTGGCTTGCAGCAGTGTGCCCCAGACGAGCCAAGTTGCTCTCTGACACAAGGTTTTCCTCGTGACTGACCTGTCAGGAATTTAAATCTTGGGCTTATTACCCGCACAAAGGGTGGTGACATTGGATAATCTTTTGGAAACTTCATCTCCAAAGAAATAGCTTCAGTCTTTTTGTATTTTTTAGCATAAATTTTTAAATCTTTTGCCAACTTTGTTTTAGGATCAAAATCATTTAGTTTTACATCCTGTAAAAGAGAGAGAAAAGTTATATTATAAAATCGTTCATTGCCGATTTAGGTTTTTCTACAAAAGATAACACATTTCAGGGTTACTAATAAGTGTCACAGTCATGGCACTATCACATGATCACATTTTGTGAAAACAGACAATTTACTTTACAGTTATTGTATACATTGCATGGAACACTTATGAAACATGATATGGTACAACATCTATGGTGCATTACATCATTCCTATTTAAATTGACACAAACACAAACTGAACAACAAAAAATTTGTTTCATTCTTAGGAGATGTTCTTTATGTGTGTTTTTTATGTTGCTGTTGCAATTTAACTTTTGCTGAAACCAGAATTAAAGTCTTGAGTTGTCCCCTTTTGAACTGATGCGTGCACAGCTCAAAAACAAGTCATTTATTTTTTTGGGACTTTTTAGGTGAAAATTTGTTGATAATAAATTTTCTTAAATCTTTATGTCAGGTAGATTTGAAAATAAACAAAAAAATAACTTTGGTTAAAGAACTAGTTTTCATACAAAAGATATATATTATATTATCTCCATTTGAACATCACATTCTTACTTGGATATGTATCTTGAAAAAATCACAGGCTTATTTTTTGAAAGGTGATACAAGTTAACTATGGCTTTGTGAATTACTGTAAAACATGTCTTTTTAGCAAATTTAGCGAGAGAACTGATTTGCTAATGACTTTGTTATAAATTCAAAATGGCCGCCAAACAAGGTCTTTTTTTTCTCCACACACACTTGGTAAACAACACAAAAAAAACATACTGACATGATAGATACACTTTATTGATAAGTAAATTAACACAAAAAAATAAACGTATTTATTGTGGTTATTATTTCAAAGAAAATAAATAAATGTGAAGTGATATTGATATATTATTACGGAAATTTTTTAGTCCCAATATAAAAGGTCAATATTCTGGATGTAACGCAGCAACCATACCCGCATTTTTCAAATTCCTGTTGAATCATTTTTTTATGATTGCGAGTTTTTCATTGTTTTTATGAAGGTGATAACTGCCCATTTGTTTTGGCGCATGACAGACAAGTATTGTGAAAATAGGAAATCAACAATAACAAGAGAGATTCGCTAAATCAACATTTCGCTATTACGCCATTTTACAACAATTCGCTAAAATTGCATGTTGCTTTTTCAACATGTTTTACAGTAAGCTCTAGGATTATAATAATCCCTTGTGAACTGTACACATTCCAAATTTTATACAAGTGCCTATGAATTCTCTCAATTTATTAAAATTCAGTAAAAATTCATATTACAAAAATATAATTTGTACAATAATATCAAACACCAGAGGGCGCTATCACCAAATGAATACTAGTACTGAGCACATGCAACCAGAAAAAGTAGTAGATGAATAGAACTCACCCAAATAAAAAGATTATCACCCCTTGGTCCACCTTCCACTCCAAATTTACCCTCACTCTTTTTGAGATGTTTCAAATCTGCAAGGGAAAGAAAGTCTGTAAATATTCTCAAGGGGCCAGTTCATTTAAATGTGTACTTTTTGTTTATTTCAACACATATACCGTACTTATCCGGGTAAGAGCCCATGCCTGGGCAAACGCCCATCCCCCACTTTTGACACAATAATGGAGTTGAGGTCATATCCGGGCACACGCCCACCCCTTCTTTTTGGCAATTTTCCATATTCAAGACCCTGGGCTTATACCCGGATAAATACGGTACAATGTAGTGTAGATCCAACTGGGAGATCTGAGTTTAGGGTAACGCCCTAGTATGAGAATCTTATGAGATAAAGTTTGATTCAAGATAAAATACCCAGGCCACAATCAGAGACATTTTATCATCTGAAAGACTTAAAGACCTGCATAAAATGTTCTGGAATATTTATGCTTTTATAATCTTAAGACAATACTTGAGAACAAATATATTTGACTTGATCCTTGTTCTGGCCTTGAGTTTGACTCTGAAACATTTAGTGTATCTCTATGAAGTCCAGCAATAGAGTGTTCTGATTGGTCAGGAAGCACTAGGTGAGTTTCAAGTAATAAACATTAATAAATAATTATTGGTAATAAAAATATAAACATTCAGGAATCAAGTGGCGTATACAACAGATTGTTTATTTACATCAAAACATGTGTTCCGTGTAGTAGTAATACGGCCAAAAATAAAAACAGCTGTTATTGGGCCATCTTTGATCTGATTATGAAACACACTGATATATATGATGTACATGTATGTGCCAAATACAAATGAAAATGGTACATAAATTGTGGAAATATAGTAGTAAGGCCAAAAAGTCAGAGGGCTGTCAATTGGCCATCCTTGACCAGATTTTGAAACAAATTGTCCTAACATGTATAAAGTACATGTATGTGCCAAATTTGAATGAAAACTGACAAAGCACATCCAAAATATCGCATAAAAAAACAAAAACAAGATGCCTGTCAGTCGACCATCATTGATCCAATTGCGAAATAAATCGTCATGGACATGTATCCTAACATGTATAATCTATGTACCAAGTTTGAATGACAACTGACAAAGCATGTCCAAAATACAACATTTTCAAAAAACAAGATGGCTGCCAGTCGGCCATTTTGAATCAAATCGCTAAACCACTGCATGTGCATATGTCCCACATAAGGTACTAGGCACATGCAAAGAATGAACGGAATCGGTTCACAGGATTCTGAAATATGACGTTGGATAGCTGACGCACGGACAGACGGACACACGGAC